GGCGGGGGGGGGGGGGGGGGGCAAGGAGGGAGTGTTGGGCTGGAAGTCCTGGTTCCCATCCCTACAACAAGAAACCCTTCGCTCTCCACTCATTGTGCCAGTCCTGGCCAGTGGGTTTCCCAGTGACCCATTTATGGCCCTTCCTAGACCTGAGAAGTCCCCCAGAGGGAGCCACCCAATTGAGTGGAAATTCTTGAGCCATTTTCTTTGCTGTAATTTCAGGCTGTCAGGGGCCCGTTGTAATAGAAACCTTGAAACACAGCCTCTGGGGTGTGTTTTCCCTCTGTCGGATTGACAATGGAAAGTGGGTACAAAGAAAGCCTGTTTCTTTGGGCTCCTGATGCCTGCTTGGGAAAGAGCACCCTTTAATTACCATCTCTCTCTCTCTCCATTCCCAGGGCCCTGGAGATGAGACAGGCTTATTTCCTTTAAGCCCATGGGAACAAAATGGTGCCCTGTTAATAGTCAATGAGCTGGGAAGGGGCAGGGTAGGGTCTTAAGAAGCCATTTCACCCATCCCCCTGCACTGGGGAAGTATCACTTCTTAAACTTTCCTGCTTTTGAAAGGGGAAGGAATAGCATAAGAATTTATATAGCATCTACTAGGTGCTAGGCAAACACTTTTTACAAATATTATTTCATTTGATCCTCACAACAACCAACCCTGTGAGGTAGGTGCTGTTATTTTCCCCATTTAACAGTTGAGGAAATTGAGGCAGATAAGGTTAAGTGACTTGCCCAGGGTCTCATAACTGCTAAGTGTCAGATTTGAACTCAGGACTTCCTGACTCCAGGCCTAGCATCCACTATGCTACCAGCTGCCCCTAAGGTTTGTGGGCTTATGGAATATCAGAGGTAGAAGGATCTTTCTGGGGTGGTCTGGATATATTTACTCCCTGTGATCTTGGGCAGGTCCCTGAGCCTCAGTTTCCTCTTCTATACAATGAAGGCCTCTGAAGTCGCTTCCGGCTCTCAGCTATGATCTCATATGTAACATGTAGACAGATACTCAAAATAAATACGAGATGATTTCGAAGGCTGATAAGAGCCACGGGAGGTTTGGCAGGGAAGGGGGGTGGGGAGTGAGGACAGGCTTCGGTAGCTGGTAGCAGCAGTCCTCCGCTTCTCCCCCACAATCCTCCTCACCATGCTGGCCGAGGCACCAACGCCGAGTGGGGGCCTTGGCTGAGGAAGGGGGGGGACTGCTTTCAGCTCAGTCTCACTTTTCTTCTTTCCTCTTCTGCTTTCTAAGCTCGGCAGCATGGCTCACCCAAGCTGCCCGGCGGCTCCCTTGGTGACAGGAGGCCAGGCTGGCGGAGCTGGCCAAAGAGGCCCTCCTCATGAATGCCCCCTTGGTTCTCTCTCACTGGGTGGCCTTTACGACCTCCCCCATTTCCTTCCCAGCTCAGGTTTGCTATGGAAAACCAGCCAATTATAGTCCTTTGCTCAAGGCCAAGGCCATGGGTCTCCCAAACATTATTTCAGAGCACAGGGAACAGAGGATGGGGAAGAGAAATGGTCTTCTTCCGTATACTCAGTCACCCTCCTGCCTTTGTCTTCTCCAGAGCCAGGAGGAGAAAGGTCTGAAAAAAGAGACAAGCCCCTGGGAATTTTCTTTAGACCTTTTGAGTAACAAACATTTGTTTCTCATAATAATGATAATAATAATAAATAATAACACTCCCTTGAATGGGTTTATCACTCTCTAGTTTTCAGAGAAGCGTCATTATATTGTGAATAGAGCGCTGGCCTTGGAGTCAGGAAAGACTGGGTTCCAGTCCCATCTCTGACATAAACTTAGCTGTGTGACCTTGGGCAAGTCACTTATGCCAGTCACTAAGACTGGAAGTTAGAGATAAGGCACCGACCTTCCTTGGTAGTGGATTAAAATCACAGGTCCAGTCCCCATCTCTTTTCCTACTGGAGTTTATCATGTGACAGTTTTCAAATTTATTACCTCATGTGATCTTCTGTCGTTCTCTCCACAGCTAGATGGGGAAGAGAATATCACGCCCATTTTAGAGATGAGGAAACAGTTGTGCTGCAACAGAGTTTCAGAGTTCTGAGCAACAGTGTTGCTCAGGCTCACAAAGCGGGGCCATGGAGCAGGACTAGAATCCAGGTCTCTTTGATAGCTTGTTCATAGGATTCTAGATCCAGAGGGTGAGGGAATCTTAGAGGCCAGCTAGTTGAGCCCCCTTATTTTAATAATATCAATTACACACACACACACACACACACACATACCAAGAAAAACAAAGTGCAAAAAAAAAAAGTCAGTCTGCAACTCAGAGTTCATCAGCTCTCTCTCTGGAGGTAGATGGCATTTTTTTTTATCATGTGTCTTTGGAATTCACTTGTATCATTGTCCTCATCAGATGACACCAATTCTCGACAAAATACAATAACATTATTAAAGGGAAGGTTAGGAAAAAATCTAGAAAAGGAAGCAATGATCACAAATACCCTGCATGGCTTCAAGAAGCGTTTATCGGGAAGGGGTCATGCTAGACCCATCTCGTTTCCTTTGGGACAGGGCTCCGAGGCTCATTCATCAGAGGAAGCCTATAGCTAGACTTTACCCAGATTTCTGGGAAGCATTTGCCAGGGACCAGATGGAGAGTTATGGCAGACAATTGTCCGGTTAGGGGACTTCAGAGCTGGCTACAGGGGCCAGACTGAAAGAATAAATAGTTGGATGCTGACCTAGAGGGAGGTCTCTGGTGGAGTGCCCAGGGAATCCATCCACACATGCTTTTGAGTTATTTTACGTTTTTATCAATGACTTGGAAGAAAGTGGTGATACTGACAGGTGATGTAGACATAAATGTAAAATCCTGTGTTTAAATTTTTAAAAAAGCCTAATAACTTCAAGTGCTGGCTAAATCAATGGTTGTTGCCCTGCCTTGACTCAGGTTGGAGACAGCTGAGTTTTAGTGTCTTGGGGTCTTCCTGGGCTGCAGACTCAATAGGCTGATGCAGTAGGCAAGTGAGCTTTTGCGGGCCTGGGCTTCCTCAAAGGTGTCCCAGGCTGGGCAGGTGCTGGATCCTTGCAGCCTGGACCTCGTCTTTATAGGATGCTTGTATCCTATATCTTGGTCAGACCCCGGGTGGAGTCTCATGGTTAGTTCTGAGTACCAGATATTGACAAAATGGAGCACAGTCAGAGGAAGGTAAACAGAATGACAACAGGCTTTGAGGTCATGACTATGAGGGACAGGTGAGGAAACCAGTTATTTAGCTTAAACAAGAGGAGACTTGGGGGACAGGGACAGTGTGATAGAATGGATAGGGTACTGGATTTGGAGTCAGGAAGACCCAGCCTCTGACAGTTACCAGCTGTGTGACCCTAGGCAAGTCACTTAACCACCTATGCCTCAGTCTCTTCATCTGTAAAATGAGGAAATTAGGTTTGACGGCTTCTGAGGTCTCTTGCAGCTCTGGATCTGTGCTGCTATGGGCTGTCTTCTAGTATCTGAGGGGCTGTCTTATGGAAGAGGGATGGGGTCACAAAGAGTCAGACATGACTGAAAAACTGAACAGTTTGGCCACAGAGGGCAGAAGTCATGTGTGTTCCCCTTAATTCTGAATTTTGTGAGTTTGTAATACTTTCTCTAATAATAATAATAGCTATGCTATCTAAATATTAGCTATTATGTATTTACATATATTATTTATATAACAAATGCTATATAAATATTATCATTATTGTTATATGGTACCTACTATGTGCCAGTACTAAGTGCTTTATGAGGAAACTGAAGCAGGCAGAGGTTAAGTGATTTACCCGAGGTCACACAGATAGTAAGTGTCTGAACCAGGATTTGAACTCAAGCCTTCCTGATTCCAAGCCTGGTGCTCTATCCACTATACCATCTAGCCTCAGTTTCTCCACATGTGAGATGGGAATAGTAATTTCTCCATAGTTTTCCATGTTTGGATTCCACATGCTTAATTATTTCCTATTTATGCAGTATGGTAGAAAGGACACTGGACTGTGAGTCTTTGAGGGGCCCGTGTTCTGCCCTGACTCTTACCAATAACTTGCTGTGTGATTTTAATCATTACTAAGACTCTCTCTCTGCCTCAGTTTTTCCTCCCAAAAGCAAGAACCTTAATCTCTAAAGCCTCTTCCAGCTCCGACATTCTGTGATTTTGTAATGTGTTTTTCAGGGACGGGGATTTTTTTTTGAAAATGTGATTCATAGTTAACAGAGCACATTTGAGCCAGACTTCTCATTCTCCAGTTTTTTCCGTGCTGATTTCAAAATTAGGCATGTTTGCTCTGTGGTGACGTTATCATCTGTGATCTATTAAAAAAGACATTAGTCTGGGGAGGATTTTGAGATTTAATGATAGGAGTGATCATCTGTATTGGCCAACATCATATAGATATTTCAAAATATTATTGCTGTTACTGGATCACGTTAGTATGGAATCATGGAACCTCCGAGTTCAGAAGTACCAGGGTGTTTGTCTACCCTGACAGACTAAGCATCCTCTCCAGGATGTGAACTCCTTCAGGGTATGTTTTGATTTGTCTTTATTCCGTATTCTCAGTGACTGGCACCTAGGGATAAGGAAGGAATAAGCATTTATTAAACATCTACTGTATGTCAGGCGTGTATTAAACGCTTTACAAATATCATCTCATTTAATCTTCACAACAACCAACCCTGGGAGGTAAGGGCTATTATTGTACTCATTTTACAGTTGTGGAAACTGAGGATATAAAGGTTAAGTGATTTGCCCAGGGTCACACAGTCAGGATGGGTCTGAGGTAAAACTTGAAGTCAGGTCTTCCTTTCTCTGAGGCTAGCTCTCTATCCACTAGGCAACACTGCCTAGTGCAAAAAATATATGTATATATGTGTATATATGTATGTATATACACATATACATATACATACGTACATACACACACACATACATATGTACATGTGTGTATGTGTATATATACTCTGTTTTTAATGGTGTCATTTTTTTCCCCCTGACATCAGGCTGAACTCTGTCCACCTGCCATTCCTGCTCCTCACTCTTAGGTCTGGTCTCTCGGGTCACCACAGAACAAATGCCTGGCACATAGTAGGCATTTAATAAATGCTCACTGGTTGGGTTATAACATCTCTGACCAAGGATCATCCAGCTGCCAAACAGGGCACATTCTCACACCTTCCTCCCAGGTAGGGATTGGGAGTCTTATTATCTGCATTTTACAAAGAAGGAAACTAAGGCTTAGTGAGGGGTACAGCTGAACAGGGGTAACATCAAGAAAGCAGTGACTTTCTTATGGAAAAAAGGAGCACTCTCCCAAACCACACATGGATGGATGTGCTCCTCTGTTCCAGGGCCTGGAAAAAGGCCATCGGGAGCTGAATGTGGGAAGAAGGGAAGGATTCTTAGGGAGGTGGTGTGTGTGTGTGTGTGTGTGTGTGTGTGTGTGTGTGTGTGTGTGATGGGGGAAGGAGTGAGGGAGAGGGAGACAGAGTGAATCAGAGACACAGAAGGAAGGAGGGAGAGAGAGACACACATACAGAGAGAGAGATAGAGACAGAGAGACAGAGAAAGAGACCAAGAAAGAGAGACTGAGAAAAGAGATAGGGAGACAGAGACAGTTCAGCAAAGCTAATCCATGCACCAACCAAGTCTAATATTATAAGTGGATTTCCACACCCAAAGTCCCCCACCTCTACAAAGGCGGAGTGCCTTCTCTTTTGTTTCTCGTAGAGACATCTTTCATTTGCATGGCTCCAGCCATCACCTCCAGTCTCCACATGGGAGATGCCCACATCTGCATCTCTTACCAAGACTCTCTTCCAAGGGCCCAGGACCAAATTTTCAGCCCTACTAGCCACTTCCATCTAGATGTCCCAACAGCAGCTGAGCCTCCGTTTGGCCTCTTCTTTCTTTCTGTCTGTGGTACCATCATTTACCAAGTTTCTTGTGTCTTTGGTCCTTATCCTTCAACTATTAGGTCCTATGGATTTGACCTGTGCAATATTTTCATTGTATGTAGTGCATAAAATGTTGGATTCGGATCCAGAAAGTTCTGGGTTCTAATCCTAGCTTTGACACTTAATAGGTGTATGACCTTGGGCAAGTCACTTTCTATCTCTGGGCCTCAGTTTCCTCATCTGAACATTGTACCAAATGGCTTCTAAGGTTCCTTCCAGCTCCAGATCTTTGTTCTCAAGAACGTGTTCCCATTGCTACTCTAGAACAGGTCCTCCATTCACCTAGACTCCAATAATGACCTTTTTAAAAATGTTATTTTTATTGACATCTTTTTTTCACATTACCCACATTTCCTAATATATACATTCGACCCCTTCCTATCCTCAGCAAATCATCCCTCACAACAAAGATTAAAGAAAGAAAGAAAGTAACTCAACAAAGCCAACCACCTTTGATGCGTGTGCGCCATTCCCCACCCACATTGCTCATCTCTGGGTGTGTTTTCTCAACTCCTCATTTCCAAGTCCAACCAATGATGTCATCACTGCCTCCACTCCTCCTACTCCCCACCCCCTCAATCTGTCCTTCACACCACTTCTAGCATAATTTTCCATATATTCTTATGTGTATGTACACACACGTATGATCACAAGATCACAGATTTAGAGCTGGAAGAGGCCATCTGAGTCCAACTCTTCCTACATTTCATTCATTGGGTCACTGGTTCCTTCATTTGTTTGTTTAAGGTTGGGCTTCCTTAACTGACTCAAGCAGGAAGTACAATGACCACTCATGGCCCCAATCCCATTGTTGATTTTCGTGGGACCTTTGACCTGCTCCATTTCTGACCTGGGCCAGTTTGACTCACTCAGGCAGCCTGGTGGGCCCTCATTCTTCTCAGGATCTCACTATATTGGTGCAAGGTTTCGTGAGGACACTCCAGAGTCTCCTCAGGTCAAGCGAGCTGCCAGCCTCAGCCTTCCCACTAGTTGTCATTTTACATATGAAGAAAATGAGGCCCAAGGTTAAGTCACTTGCCTAAGGTCACACAGCTGCTTAAGTGTCTAAGATGGAATTTTAACCCAAGTCTAAGTCAAGTATCCTGTCTACACCACATTGCCTGATCCTGTCAAAACCCCTCAGTGACTCCCTAATGCCTATTTATTTTTTAAAGGCAATTTGGGTTAAGTGACTTGCCCAGGGTCACACAGTTAGTACGTGTACATGTGTGTGAGGCTGGATTTGAAATCAGATTCTCCTGACTCCAGGGCCAATGTTCTATCCACTGCACCACTCAGCTGCCCTATGCCTGTTGAATAATGTTCAAAATCCTTGGTTTGGCATTCAAGACTCCCCTACATTTTTGCCCTCTTTCCCCACACACTATTGTCCTGTTATACTGAGCTATTTTTCCTTACACATACATGTCCATTAGTTTCTGGTCTCCAACCTTTCTTAAGCAATTTTCTCTAACTACTGTGCCTTCCTTCCTTCCAAAGCTAGCTCCCTATTCATCAGGCCATGCTGTCTGTTCAAAGGATCCTTCCATCCTTTGAGACCCAGGGGAGATGCTACCACTACCAGTATACATTCTCTGACTCCTCCTTCCCACCCTCTACTTCTTGAAATGAATTATAGAATCTCAGAATTGAGAAGGTGCTCAGAAGACATCTAGCCCAACCCGTGCCTGTCTAAGAGTCTTGCCTACCACACACCCAGTGGATGGTCATTCAGCATCCAGGGAGGGGGAACCTACTTCCTGATATAGCCCACTTCCTTCTGAGACAGCCCAGTACTTCCTGAGATAGCCCACTCATTGTTTTACTTGTGGACCCTTCCAGCTGTTAGAAAGTTTCTCCTTAAATGGAGCAGAAATCTGCCCCTGAAGCATTCCCCTCCAGTGTTCCCAGCTCTGCCCCACTGGGGTCAAATAGAACACAACAATTTCCCACTTCTACACCCATGACAACCTTTCAGAGACAGCTATTCTGTCTCCCTGACCAAGGCTGTTTTTCTCCAGGCTAAACATCCCTCATTTCTTTCATCCAATCCTTATATGGCAAGATCTTGAGGCCCAACACTGTCCTGGTCACCCTTCTCTGGACCTTCTCCCACTTATCAGCATCCTTCCTAAATGATGATGCTCACAGTGGAACCCAGCACTCCAGCTGTGGCCTGACCAGGGCAGAGGCTCTTTCTTCTCCCTGGATCTGGTCACTGTGCCTCTTGGGGCAGCCCAAGGTCAAATGAGCTTTGGGAGCCTGTCACACCCCACTGTTAATTCCAGGAAGCCTCTCCAACCCCCTTTCAGACAAGTGGCTGTCTAGTTGCACCTCCCCCATATCATACATTTAAGCCAAGAGTAAGATATCACATTTATCCTGATTAAATGTCTTGTTATTAAATGTCATCCCAACACTTTGTCGAGATCTCTGTCAAGATCTTCACGGATCCTGCTTCTGCCATCTCATATTAACTGTTGTTTTCATCTTGGCAATGATGGTTCCTCACTCTGGCCTCCCATATGATACTCAGAGCCGCTCACATGTTCCAAGTAGAGTCTGTATTAGACTAAAATTGTGTATAGTGCCTCATGTATGTGTATATATGTGTGTGTATGTGTGTGTGTGTGTGTGTGTATATACAGAAAGAAGGACAGACAAATAGGATAGCTTTGAAAGTGACTCGAATTTAACATACACTTAAAAAGAAGTGACCTTCATGTAAGAGAGATTCTCTGTTTCATGTACAACCTTTTCTTTCTGTTCTGTTCTGTATATGGAAGTGTGCTTTTTCAGCTGATATTTTTTAAGTGAACTTGATTTTATAAATAGGGAAAGATAAGCATATATGGGATAAATCTGGGATAGGGAGAAGGACTGGATATGGAATTTCACTGGTGCCATGAAGTCGTACATGAGCAAAATTCCTCTACCGATGCAGGTTGGCACCTGCTTTGCCACTTACAGTCTTACAGAGTTGACTGTAACGCTAAGAGGGTATGAGACTTGGCCAAGGTCAAACTGCCAGGAAATGTCAGAGGCCAGGCTCGGGCCTGAGATTTCCTGGCTCTGAGACAAGCCCCCTCCACACTAGGCCGTGCTGGCTGTACAGATATATACAGAATAAAAGATGAAATAAATCCAGGGTAGTTAGGGAGGGAGGGCACCATCAGTTGGGGGAATCCAAAGGGGCTTTGAGTAGAAAATGGTGCTTGCATTGCATCTTGAAGGAAGAGACAGAGTCTATGACCAGGAAATAACAATTAGCAACTTCATTAACTTGGGGTGCAATTTAGATTCCTCTTTTTGAACCTGATCACCTGTTAACTGATCTTTCCTTTTAAAAAATCCTTCACTGTGTGACTCTGGTCAAGTCACTTAACCCCAATTGCCTCAACAGAAAAAAAAAGACTCAGTTTAAAAAATCCTTCGGGGGTCAGTTAGGTTGCACAATGGGTAGAGCACTGGCTCTGGAGTTAGGAAGACCTGAGTTCAAATCTGGCCTCAGACACTCACTAGCTAGCTGTGTGACCCTGGGCAAGTCACTTAACTCCCACTGCCTCCAAAATTAAAAAAAAAATAAGCAACAGAAACAACATAAAAATCCTTCAGTAAAGGACAATGTTTTTGGATTGCCAAAATGTAATTAAGTTACATAGGGTCTCATTGAAGCTGCACAAGATTCTTTTCACAAGAGATGGGGGTATACAACCTGATTCCTAGAATTTGCCAATTATTCTTTCCTGCTGTTTCTGTAAGTCACAACAAACTATATAATACCAGATATTTATAGGAATTGTTATCTGCTATCCCCTTATAAAACTAGCCAGCCTTTGGTTGGCAGATCAGACCATCATTCTCTCCATAACCTCTGTCTCTCTCTCCTTCTATCTTCTCATCAGGCAGGTGAGGATGGGAAAGAGGATGCTCCATCCAACAGCCTGACAAGGTGACGTGGGTCACACCATCCAACAGAAGGCCAGGTACCAGCCTGCTCTCTGTACTACACAACCATGCTGAAGCCCAGTGGGCTGAAGATCCCCAACCGGGGAGGAAAGCACTCCAGCCCTGTGGGCCGAACCTCTTCTGGGTCATCCTCGGCTGTGGCCACTACCGGCTCTAAGGAAGGTAAGAGAAAATCCAACCACTGGCTGAGAACCTGCTTTGGGGATTTTGGCAAAAAGAAGACTGGCAGGCGATGGAACAGTGAGATGGAAAATCCCAGGACGTGGTGCGAGAAGGGCCCAGGAGAGGGTGTTCATCCCAGTTTTGTGCCTTTAGAAAAAGTTATGTAACACACAGAGATAATTTCTGGCAGCATCAGAGCATCGAAAGTTCGCCACAGCAAACCAAAGTTCCTCCTGCTTCAATATAACCTTATTTCTTCTTGTTTTTATGTATGCATTTTCTTTGTAGGCTTAAAGGTGACCAAATTATCCCTTAACTTCCTCTTGTCCAATATTCTGACTTTGCATCCAATAGAATGTTAGCTGGAGTGGACCTAGCAGGCCATCGTGTCCAGCCCCCTCATTTTACAGGTGAAGAAACTGAGGCCCAGAAAGGTCACCAGGGTCACCTGGTTAATAAGTACCTGTGGTGGGTTTTGAATCCAAGCCCTCCCAACCCTTCAGTACAGTATCCTAGCTAGCATACCACACTGCTTTCCTCATTTTACAGAGAAGGGAAATGAGTCAATTGAGTGTGACGGATGTGATCTGTCTCCCTCTGGGCAAAGTCTGAACTAGATCTCAGGTCCATGCAACCTTCTTTTCAGCACCTCGTGCTCCTCCTCACACCTATTTTCTATCCTTTTGGCTGCGATGGTTTCATTCCTCTGATGATCATTATTATATTTAATTAAATAATAATAATAATAGCATTTATGTAGTGTTTTAAGGTTTGCAGTCTTTTAGAAATCTTGTCTCATTTGAGCCTTACGATAAGCCCTGTGGGATTTGAAAATCATCTAGAGATTCTCAGAGATGGAGGTTAGGAAGGACAAGAGTGGACAAACGCACATAGGTGGGAGATCAAATGTTGCGTATGGGAAACAGTGAATAGACCAGTTTGGCTGAAAAGTAGAACTCCTGATGAGCATGATGCGTGGAGGTGGGAAACAGACGCAGCGCTTTGCTAACTAGGAGCAGGCTGACTTGGCCATAGCGATGCTGGTTTGGTCATTTCTCTGGGTGGGCCTCAGTTTCCTCATCTGTAAAATGAGGAGCTGGACAAGATGGCATCTGGGGATCATGGCTATGGCCCCTGGATGACCTCCAAAGAGGAAGGAAGGCTTGGTGGTGGCTTCTCGGTCAGAACAGACTCCAGAATGCCCTGGGCTGTCTCCTTAGTTCCTGCCCCCAGACTCTTGGGCAGAAGAGACCAGAGGCCTGATGCTGCCAACGCCCCTTCTCAAACACTCCCCCTGGGGCGTTGGCCTGGCAAGTGGGTGGCAGGAGACACCGGTGTGGCCCTGCCAGGTCCACGGCAGCCATCTGCCGCCTTGGGGACGCTGAAGCAGGGAGAGATCAAATCCTTTATTTGATTTTGCTCCTCATTTGGGGGGATCTCTCCCTTTACAAATTTGAGGAGTCAGTAACACTCTGGGCTGGGCTGGAGGGGAGGGAGAGAACAGCTGGTTAGGCCCCAGGACCCCAGGGAATTTAAAAGAAAAAGAAAAAAAAACCTTTTGTGATCCCCCGGCTCATGTGACAGCAGCATTGACCCTCCCCGAAACTGAGGCAGCAGGTGAACCCTTCAGGGGAAGAGCAGGGAAGGCAGATGGCTTCTGCCTCCCTTCCCCTCTCCTATTTCCTTCCGTCTACCCCTTTCCCTCTTCCTTTCTCTCTCCTGCCTCCTTTGACATGGGCTCCAGATGAAAGACATCCCCGCTCTGGGGTTTCTCAGGCTCTACTGTCTTCCACCCTGCCCCCTAATGTCTTGTATAGACTTCATATCTACTTCTGCTTGGACATGTTACCTCCCATAATAGAGGGCAAAGTCCATGAGGGCAGGGACTATTTCGAATCCGTCTGTACCTCCAGCATCTAGCACTGGGCCTGACACGTCCCAACCAGATGCTTGACTGAGCAGTCAATCACCAACTGGGTGGGAGTGAGGTCAGCAAAAGCTCCCAAGAGAGGGGAGTAAATCGTTGAGTTGTTTTATTGGCTCAATTTATTGAGAATTTATTAAATGCTTGTTGAATTGAATAGGTAGAAATTCAGAGATGAAGGAGGATGTTCTGGGTCAAGGGAAGAGCATGAGGGAAGGCAGGAAGGCCATTTGGGCCAGATTGTAGTATGCATGAGTATTGGGTAGTAAAGGGAGGATTGTGCCAGATTGTGGAGGGCTTAGAAGGCCAGCCACAGAAGTCTGAGCTTTATGCAAGAGGCAATATGGAGCTATTGCAGAGTTTTGAGCAGACGAGTGCCCTAACCAGCCTACGAATAAGAAAGGTAAGTTGTATGAAGGACGGATTGGAGAAAGGAATGGAGCAGAGAGAGGTAGGACATCTCATGCTTGGAGGCTTTTATAGTGAAAAACACCTTGAGAACAGAGAGGCAAGAGATATGGGGGAAGTAGGTTTGATGGGACTTGAGAACTAACTGAAAATGAGACATGAGCATGAGACAGAAGCACAGGCACCGGTTTTGGAGTCAGAGGACTTCAGGATCAAATTCTGTCTGTGTGACCTCAAGTAAGTCTCTTTACATCTCTGGGCCCCAGTTTCCTCATCTGTAAAAGGGGATGCTTGGGCTTTGGCATCTCCTCCAGTGATAGAGCTATGGTCTTATACAGAGGTATGGTGTGTGATGGACCAAATGCAGAGAGGGAGGTAGCTGGGGGATTGTGGAACATGGCTCTGGAGTTGGGAAGACCTGCCTCTGACACCTACTGGCTGTGTGATCCTGGACAAGTCACATGCATCTCATTGCCCTTATGTAATTCTCTGAGGTTATAAGTTGAAGGACAGGTGCTAATCAGCTCTGGTAGAAGGAGTTTCTCATAGGAAATTCTCTACCCTGATGGAATCTCTGGTCCAGTCCTCTCCAGAGTGAGTCAAAGATGGTAGCAAGGATTGCAATAAGGGGGACTGGAAGAATATGGAGGCCATGGATAGAAACAGTGATGTCAGAGGGAAGAACAGATTTGGGGGGAGAGAGACCAGGCCCAATTGTGGGCGTGTTGAAGGGATGGATGCTCAGGGGGAGGAGACCCACTGGAGGTGGCTAGAGATGTGGGTGTGAGTGTTGGGATTGGTGGGAGATCTGGGAGCCATCTGGGGAAAGAAAAGAGTTCAAGCCCCAGGACTGAATGAGCTTACTAATGAGAGAGAATGTGGGAAGCCCAGAATGGAGCCTTGGAGAAATACCCATTATCATCATTTGGCAAAAGAACAGAGAGTTCAGGGAGGTGTCTTATGTTTCATTGGGTCCACCACAAGGATGAGTACACAGTAGGATCATAAACTCAGAGCCAGAAGGGACCTCAGAAGTCATCTACTCTGACCACCTCATTTCATTTTACAGGTGAGGAAACTGAGTCCCAGAAAGAGATTAAATGACAGACAGTAATTGTCAGGGCTGGGATTTGAACTCAGGTCCACAGACTCCCAATCTAGAACTTTTTGCACTCAACTGCGCTACCTCTCCATGATGTAACAAAGACTTGTTGATTGACACCAATTAGCATTGCACAATTATTTTGCTGAGCAAATGAGGCAGGGATCTAGGAGCTTAAAAATGATAGCTCTAGAAGGCTTTGTTCTGTGAAGTGTGGATTCAGCCAAAGGGCCACACTTGAGGACCTAGAGGGCCACATGTGGCCTCGAGTCTGCAGGTTCTCCACCTCTTCCATAGACCAAGTGAGGAACTACAAAGGAGGCTCATAAAGTCATACTTCGAGAGGCCATCCAGCTCAATCCTCTTGTTTTACACAGGAGATCATGGGGAATAATCATCAGAGGTGAGATCTGAACCCAGATCCTCTGACTGGCAGCTAGATGGTATAGGCAAGAGCTGAGTTCAAATGCAGCCTCAGATACTTATTAGCTGTGTGACCCTGGGCAAATCACTTCACTTCTGTCTGTCTGTTTCCTCAACTATAAAATGGGGATAATAATAGCATCTGCCTCCTACATGTTGTGAGGATCTAATTAGATGATATTTGTAAAACACTTAGCATAGTGGCTGGCACATAGTAGGTGCTTAATAAATACTTGTTTCCTTCCTTCTGATCCCAAATCCAGGACTACGGAGTCCTAAATTGGACTTCAGTCTCAAGCAGTACTAATAACACTTTGCATCTTTTTCAAAGCCCTTTCCCATGTACTGTTATTATATATTTAATTGAGAAGAGAGTTGAAGTCAATATAGTTAATGAGATCCCCAAGAGTAGAGAGGCATTTGGTAGAGTAGATGGAAAGTAGGTCTGGGAGCCAGAAAACTCTAGGTTTAAATCCTGTTTCTAGCCCACATTAGCTACATCTCCAAGGGCAAGTCTTTCTAAATAAAAGCTACAAAGACAAGGTGCATTGGTGGAAGGAATTTCCTCATCTGGGAGCTTCCAACATCAGTGAAGTCCCAATTCCAATTGATAATATAATGAAGTGTTATTAACAGAGTGTTATCTAAAAATTCACCATATTAAGCATTTGTTTATAAATCACTTTCCTCATAAAAGTCCTGAGGTGGCACTGCAAAGTTATCATTCCCATTTTACAGATGAGGAAATTGAAGCCCAGAGATATTAAGTGACTGGCCTGTGATCACACAGCTAGAAAATAAAAGAACTGGGATTTGAACCCAAGTTTTTTTCATCTTCTTTTTTTAAACATATTTTCATTTATTTTGTTAAATATTTCCCAATTGCAGGAAAAGTTTTAATATTCATTTTTAAACATTTTTAGTTCCAAATGCTCCCCCTCCCCCCTCCTTGAGAAGGCAAGCGATTTGATATTGGTCACACATGTGACATCATGCAAAACATATTTCTGTATTAGTCATGTTGCAAAAGAAAACAAAGAAAAAAAGAAAAATAGGGACAGTAAAAATAAGTATATGTGGATCTGCATTCAGACTCCATCAATTCTTTCTTTAGAAGTGGATAACATTTCTCATCATGAGTCC